CACCTGACAGAGGTAGGCACCTTGTTGTGCAGCTCACTCAGCGCCGCGCTGTGGTTCCTCTCCAGATGTTCCTGCTGTTCTTGAAGCTGCTGTTCCTGCTGGTTCTTCACACAGTCGTAATCTGACTGCAGCGACGCCAACATGCGAGTCTTCAGCTCCACCTCCTTCTGCAGAGAGTACTTGTCCTGTTCCAGAGCCTTTAAAACATCACATGAAGGAACCATGTCAGTTTGGACATCAACAGGTTTCACTGAGACTTCCTACAGAAAACATGTGTTGAATAAACTCTTGACCCGGTCCGTTTTGGGTCGGCAGCAGAACATCTAGCACTGAGGAGTGATGTGTGTTGGCGTACCTCCAGAGCGTTAGTCATCTCCACTCTCTGTTCATCCAGCTGGTTCTGCAGCTCCACCTGCTGATTCAGGAGGTCCAGTCCAGCCTGAGCAGCCTGGTGGACCTGGTCTTCCTTCTCCCTCAGCTGCCTCCTCAGCAGCTCCACCTCCTCTGCTGCCGACATCTGGACAGATGTGTGAACGCTGCTTTATGCTGCAGAAACCAGAGACTGTCCTCAGAGGGGACAGGTGCGTTGTCATGACAGCAGGTAGAACAGACTGAATGAAACCAGAACCGCTCACCGTCAGCAGACTGGACACAGTGACAGTTCTGGGTGGAGGAGGTTATTAAAGCATCATCTGGTTGAAACAACAACGTACGGAAGAACAAAGAATACAATAAGAAATAATCAGTGTGATATCTGAGGATATACGGCACCAGACTGTTCATTCATCAGCAGCCACATATTCCTGCTATAACGGCACCAACTCTGTTTGGATGACAAAGCAGAACCTTTCAGCAGGTTCTGGTGTTGGTGGAGCTCAGTCCCCTGAAGCTAACTCCCGTTGACTTTCTCCTCCACGTTTCTAATCCATCTGAACGTTTTAGGAGCAGCTTTACTGTTTGTCCTGATGGCTTGAGGCCTCTGTGACAGATCTATCTGTGAGCCTTTGGTTCAGGTTTAGATGATCCTGAGCTCAGCTGAAGGAAACTCAGACCATCTGTTGGCTGCAGTGGCGTCTGACTTTAATCAGGGAGCATTTCATTTGAACTTCCTCTGGTGTTATTTGTACTTTAATCACTGCTGCTTTCATATTTCATGAACCATCCTGTGTTTTAACCGGCCTCCTAAATCCTGACCGTTTCATGCATAGATATATATAATAAAGGCCTTATATCTATGGCTTCATGCCTGTTTGCTGTGTTCTGCTTTGGAACATGGAATTTGAAAAGTTCTCTAAAAACAGAAGTGATCAGAATGATTCTGGCTGCAGGAACAAAGAATGAAGGCAGAAAAACACTTAACATGAACTCCCAAATGACCACGGTGGCGTCTACAGCGTGTTGGTCTCTGCCTCATCTGCAAGTGTTCCAGGGTTCCCAGTACCGACACCAGTACCAGCACCGACACAACACCAGTACCAACACTGCCTCCTCACTGGATAAAGAAGCTACAACCCAGATTAGTAAACTACTGAGAACATTTGCAAGCTAACGTTAGATAAACGTCCTTACAGGTTCTGGTTCTGGTTCTGAGTCACTGTTTGCCGCTAAAGCCTTCAGGACTGTTTAATAGAACGTTAGCTACCGTGCTAACGCTAACGGTTCTAGACTCGCGTCTCCGTGGAACCGGACCAACGCCGCTGACCGGACCGGTTTCCTGAGCGAGCGACGACAGAACCGACCGACAGAAACGATATAGAACCAAAAACAACAGAATCCATCCGTTTATTTACCGTCAGTCCAAGATCCGTCGAACCGCCACCGTTTGAATCACAATTCAACTATCGCGAGATCTGCTTCTTCTTCTGCCGTGTTTGTTGGCAGCTGCTGAATCCGCTGGAGCATTTTGCCGCCACCTGCTGGACAGATGGAGAGCAGCGAAAACAGTAAAAGAACTACATCTGATTAAGAACAACCGTCATCAGTGAACGTGGTTCCGACGTGAGGCTGAACTTCTGTCATTCAGGAGCTTCTACTCAGCTCAGCGTGGTTCCACACAGAACCCCCTTCAGGTGTGTTCAGGCTGCAACAAAAAAAAATGCAATGTTGTGGTATTTAATAGTAAAAAACCATAACATGCAGTAAAAACTGCTGATTTGTTATAAAAACATTACAGAAGTTTTAAATACGGACTTTTTGCACAGCCTGATGCTGGCTGAGAAAACCAGCTTCCAGCACCAAAGTCCAGTTGAGCTGCTGCTGTTGGTCTCAGTGTCCATCACCTCTACACCTTAACCCTCAGTAGGGGGGCGGAGTCTATCCAGCTCTGCTCTGAGGCATCAAACCTAAAACATTGTCACTGATAAGATTTTCCAGCATGAGGCAGACATGTTTCTGAGGGAATGTTTAAGAACACGTTTTTGTCTCCACTGTCATAAAATGTGCAGAAAACAAAGGAACAGACAAGTTTCCATCACTTCAGTTTAATCAGACCTTCGTCACATTCAGTTCTCATCAGATCCATTCGTTATCTTCACTGTTGCATGAACATCAGGTCATCACACTCACTCTGAACAGAACCTCAGCAAACGTTTTCCTCATGTTTGATCAACACGTGTTTTACTGAACAACCAGAAACAAGTAGTGTTAATAATATTAATCATTTCTGTGGACTCCAGACCAGCCAACAGGACGCTGCTCCGCTCTCATATTTACAGTGACTGGGGTCCACCGACGGGTTTGGATTTTAGGGCCAGAACTGATTCTTGGTAATAAAGGAGGCCGATGACAAACGCTTGAAGTAAAAATGAAAATCTTGGTGTCAAAGTTCAGAATAACAAACTGCAGCACAGACGTTTGCGAGTATTTTACATTAAAAGAGCTTTTCTCTAAGTCATGATGTTGGACTGCGGGCAGGACGCTGCTCTGGATCACCGTGGAGACTACGCACACCAACGGCTGCTGTACAGCCACAGTTCTTGTTCTTTTATTGGGAACTGCTTAAAAAACAACAATACAAACAAGGAGAAGCTGTGGCTCCGATGACCAGCCAGCCCCAGTATCCACCGACCAGACGGTGAGCGGGTCGTTTCTCCTCAGGCCGCGGCGATGGAGGCGTCGTCCAGCTGTCGACCCTGAGGCTGAGCAGAAGATAGACCAGAAGCTTTAGAAGAGCAGCGAGCCTCTTGACGCTCAGATATCAGCACCTGTGTGTTTTGTTACCTTGACAAAGATGCGTTGCGGCAGGAAGCGTCTCAGGGTGTTTGTGTTGGAGGTGGGGCAGCGCGGCAGGCTGATGTTCAGCTGTGGCAGTGTCTGGTAGCCGGCCATCAGCGGGTAGTAGTTATACAGCATCTGCTGCTCCGAACCAGGAAGGATGCGGAGACGAACCTACACACAATGGAAACAGGAAAGCTTCAGAGCTGCTGTCTGTCCTGTTGACCTGACAGACACTGAACGCTTCCCCTCCAGCAGCAGCAGCGCTCTGAGCTGTGTCAAGGCATCTGAAGGACTTCTACACATCCCAGACTTCATAAGCGCTGCTCCAGCAATGGACCAGAACGTCAAAACAACCTTCACATGTGAAACAGACAAAGGTTTGGACACCGCTGTGTCTTCATCGGGACTACAGATCAGTCAGTGAGCTTCCTCATGGTCTCTGCACCATCAGAGGAACACTCAAAGCTCAGTAAGGTTCTGCTGGTCCCACGTGTATGAGCAGTTCTGACCCAGATGATAGAAATCCAGCTTTATTTGCATTGTACAACATACGTCATCAAACAGCGCTGAACACGGCACGGTGCAGACCTTCAGACCTCTGATAGAAGTCAGCTGTACCTGCTTGAGTCCGGAGAACATGAAGGCATCAGACGGTTCCACAGCCATCTCCACCTCCTGCACCAGCCCGGTTCTGTTCTCTATGTGGTACCGAACTGGAAGAGACTCTCTGACTCGCCCAAAGGATGGTAGATCTGCATCAGAACAGGTAGAAATGAAACACCTGACTGTCAGAGGAGGCTCAGGAACACAGGAAGGCCACCAGGTGTCATTCAAACGTGTGACGAGTGAAAGTGGGACCGACCAGCGTGGATGTAGAGAGGGACGGACTCCAGGATGACATGAGGTAGAGTCACTGTGGTCTGGATCAGAGGACCATCGGCACCGGAGCACTGTCTGCAGGACACAGGAGAACCTTTAGACACCTGTTGAAGACTCTGATCAGGAAGCAGCATCACAGACACAGTAGATAGAGAACATCCAGTAGATAGAGAACATCCAGTAGATAGAGAACATCCAGAACACCCAGAACAGAGAAGGTACCTCCTCCAGGATATCAGGTACTGTCCTGTAGCCACGGTGCTGCTACTGCTGGTCTGAGCTGGACATCGCAGACAGAAACACTCGCTGGCACACTCGCCGGTCTGAAGAACCACTGACCAACACAAACACACAGCGTGTTACAGTCACAGGACTCGGTTCGGTCCGACAGCAGCCGCGAGCGCAGAGGAAGCTTCTGGTACCTTCATGCAGCTGAGACTGAAGCTGTGGTGTGTTGCTGGTCATGGTCAGCAGCTGCAGAGAAGAAGAGTTCAGCATCAGCGGCCACGGAGACGACGACAGGACGTCCGTCATCAGCAGGAAGGGAATGTCCACGGCGACCCGGTCCAGAGGTTCAAACTGCAGACACACAGAGGAATTAATGCCAACATCTGTGCAACGACACGAGCTGCTGCGTCACAGTCTGACAGTCAAGTCCAGACTGGACCTCTGCTCTGGTTCCTGAGCTGAACATCACTGCACCAAACACAAGCACCAAGTCCAGAAGACAGAACATAACAATCATGAAGACAAACCTTGGTGGACACGAACTTCACCGACACCTCAAAGGGGACGACGGTCTCTATGGTTACCGTCTCATCCTGGAGGCCACAGAGAAGACAGTCAACCAGCTGATCAATGAACACAAGCTGACTGTGATGACAGACTTCTGCGAGCTTCTCACCTTGTGACACTTGCAGACGATGTGTCGTCCCTCCACCGTGGTGTCGATGCTGTAGGCCACGTGGAACAGGAAGACCCGCGGCCCGGTCGACACACAGCGCACGTAGACACGCCTCTCCAGCTGCACAAACACACTGAATCAGTCCTCGCCGTGCAACCCTAACCCTGTGCAGGCAGGTTTAAAGTGCTGAACATCTCTGTACCTTCTCGCCTGGTTTCAGGTCTCCCAGAGGAACATCCGGCAGCAGAGCAGGAGAACTGTCGTCACACACCTTCGACCCATCCAGGGTCACGTGGGTGGTCTGACCGAGGTTCGCATCCTGACCTGAACACAGCGCCAACACAAACTCACACACTGTCCACGGATGTGACACCCTCTGGACCGGTTTACAGACTGAACCAGACAGAACCAGCAGAGGAGCCGCTCTAGTTCCTGTTACTGTTATTGGTGTCACTTTTTTCATTCACAGATTATTGCTCAATAAACTAAATGTTCTTGTCTGGCTATGATGCCACCTCCTCTCTGTCAATCATCTCTGTAGTCTCCGTCCCACCCACAGCTCTGATTGGTTATACGTCATGATTGATTCAAGTCAACTTTATTTGTATAGTGCAGTTTACAGCATGTGCCATGTGACAGCGCTGAACAGAGTCAGGTTTCGACCTACAAGCTAAACAGAGAACCCAACAATCCACATTGCCTTTGGACTGCCTCTGAGCAACGGTGGGAAGGAACCAAACCCCCCAGTGGGAGGGGAAACTACCAGCCAATCACTGAAAGCAATTGTTGACACAGAGAGACAGATGAGCACATTAGCAGACTGTAGCAGCTCCAGCTAGCAGCTGTTTGAGGTGAAGCTCTAATAAACACACAGTCTTACAAAAGCATCTCCCGTTTCCCCTGAAAACACCTGAACAATTCACCTGGAGGCGTCAAAGCAGCTGGAACTGATTCTGCTGATGCCGCTAGGCTAATGCTAACACGAACACTGAGAGACTAGCTGAGACTCTTAGCCTGCGGCTAACGCTATCTGTAGCAGCGTAGCGTGTTTCTGACGTCAGATTAACATTAACTCTGGTCTCACTGACAGACTCCTCTCTCTGCAGACTCGACCTGCAAACACTGAACAAGAAGCACAAACATCAGCACAAATCAGGACATTAGCTGCTGTCACAGCGGCTAATGCTATGCTAACGGCTAGAAGCTAAGTTAGCAGCCAGCTACAGATTACACTTGAACACAACAACTAATGAAGCTTTAAAATCAGGAGCTTAGTGGGAAGTAGAAGAGACAGAACAGAGAAAGAAAACAGAAGAACAGCAGACAGACCTGCAGGAGACAAACTCATATTGATCTCAATCTATCGATCAATCAGTGAGCAGAGGAGAATGTCTGAACATCACATGGTGCTCTGATGTCACTCCTGTCCCCATCGTCCATGTTTACTGACAGTAATCCTTTTTAATGAAGTAATCTAGTTATGAATGCCAGATTGCTGCTATCACATGCTGTTAACTGGAACATTTAGGTTGTGTGTCTTTCCTGATCAGTAATCGATATGGGCTCTGGAAAACCCCTCACAGACCCCAGTGATAACACACAGACTAGTTTAATTTGTACACGACCAGAGATGTGAACACACAAACCTGAGGGATCGGGAGGAGTTGGATGCTTTACCTGGTTTGAGGCCGGCGGTCAGCTTGACCTCCTTTGCCACGTTCTCCTCCTGTGATTGGACCGTGAGGCTGATGCAGAACATCTCATTGGTCAGTGCGGGAGGCTGGTGGCTGAGCTGGACGGAGATCTTTGGGACTCTGGAGATGATCCTGAACATGAACAGTCATCAGTCCTGTCGGCTCTATCTTAGCGAGGATGTGGATGTGCACCGACGGATGTTCTGACTTACATGGTGCTGTGCTGCAGGCTCAGACTGTCCCAGTCCAGCTCCTGACGTGCCTCCAAGCCCCGCCCCCATCGCCGTGACGACCTGCTGGCCTGCAAAGCCTCGTGGGTAGAAGCAGCATCTCCTCCAGCCCCCCTCCAGCTCAGAAACACACAGCGGCCGGCATCGCTGCCCAGCATCACCTCGATCCCTGTCATCTGAGCATTAATGTCAGTTAGTCTCACCTCAACACCACCATCTAACACCACCATCTAACCCCACCTCAGCACTGGGAGGCTCAGGTTACGCCTCGGACCCTCTTAAAGCCACAGAAACATGTCCTCACCTCGATCTTCTTGCCCACGTCTTCAGTTTTTGCCACGAAGCTGAAGCTGTAGCATCTGGTTTTTCCTGGTACCAGAGTCATGCTGTCCTGAGCCGACTCCACCACACACCACTGGTTGTACTCCTGTAGGATATGAACAGACACAGCTGCCCAAAAGACACAGAACTTTCCTGCAGGCCACAGGGTCATGTAAATCAGCTCTGCAGACTTGGAGAGCCGAAGCCAGGACAAGCAGAGCTCACTTAGGAATTCACTTATCACACCTATCGGAGCTTCAGAGGATCAAACACACAGAAGCTTTTAAGGAAAGACAAAGAAAAACATTCAACCACGCAGACCTTAACAGATGGTCCAGATGGCCGGGTGCAGTGAAGTGCCCCGGGCTTATCGTATTGCTCTGCTGACCCCTCATGTCCTGTGGCATGAAACAACTGGACTTATGAAGATACAGCACCAGAGGATCTTAATGGGACGCTAATATCTGATATTAGTTTAAGTGTTGTTAAATGTTATGGTATATCATATCCTGATAAATACCCCAAAGCTTAATTACAGTTGGATAAGTCCTTCTTTAATTGATCAGCTTGTTATATAACCATATCCTGAGCATTGTGTTATTTCTGTAACCGTCAGAGACAGATTTATCATGTTTACACTCCCCATGAAGCTCTACATGTGACACATTCATTTCCAACAAGCTTAACTTTGTATCAGTACAAATACATATAGTTCTGAAGGAACATTATTACTTTCAGAGCAAAGCTCTGACCACCTCACGACCTCCCGGTGATACTGGGACGTCATATCTAACAGCCCCTCTGGGAGCGGAGCTCGCTCTGATTGGTCAGTAGTTTTACTATTAAAGTCTCTTCACCCGAAAGAGACTTTCTGAGACTTTCTGAGACTTTCTGAGACTTTGTGAGACTTTGTGATACTTTCTGAGACTTTCTGAAGGCCATAGAATCTCCCACTTTGGTCCAATGTAGCGACTCCAACTGCCACACCCTGATCCAACTCAAGCTGAAGGCCTCGTCTCCCAGACGCTGCTACACCCGCCAAGGAACTGCAAGTATCAAGCTTCTGTCTCTAAACGGGTGTTTTGTGATTATAATTGGCCTTCTGAACAATATTCCAAATATAACAGATTATCTGCTGCTTCAGGTGAAAAGACTTTTAAGCCTCCAGACCACCACTCTGCTCCACATCAGGTTTTCACATTCATATTCTCAACCAGCATTTTCATCATTGTTTGTATTTTATGTTTGTTGTTGTTTGTTTGTTTGTTTAGTTAGTAATACATGTTGTGTGTGTGTATACAGTTGTTTCCTGTGTTTTCTATGGCTTACATCCAGTCACTTTACGTATCTGATCTTTAGTTCCCTGAGCTCTAAGTTAATTCCCTTAACTTCATAAAACACTCTTGACTGATCACCAGGAGTAAACAATTTATTAGAATTATTATGCTGACTCTGAGATTATATCGCTGGACGAATAATTCAAAGCCTGGTTTTAATAATTTTAATTAATGCAATCACTTGCTTTGGTGTAGAAATAAGTATATCTTATTTTCTACCCTACACTCCTGAACACACAGAAACACACAAAGACACAACTGACCAAACATTTATAGATAAACATTCAGAATGTTAGAACCCAGTCTGAGGCTCTGGGTCCCACCACTGGGTCAGATGTTTGTGCTGTTAAACTACATTTCACTGCATTGTGTCCAAATGAAACCTAAGTCCTTCGTTGCTTCTGTACGTCTCCTGAAGCTGCTGTCGGCGTCCTTCATTAACACGTTAAATCCCAGCTGGCGGTTGTAGAACACGAACCCTCCAGCTGTAAACTAAGAAGGACGAAAGCTTCTGTTGTTCACTGATGTTCTGCCACCGATGGAATCTGACATCAAGGTTCTTCAGCAGACTGAATCCATCACATACGATCTACTGACAGCACGCAGCAGAAACTACATGTAGGCTGTAGGTCTACAACCGGTAGATTAAACTAGATCACATCTCTGCAGACTGTCACACCTGGACACCACTTGTTCCAGCTCCTCCCCTCTGGGGGGCGCTACAGCTCTGGTTCACTTTAAACCTGCAGCAGTCGTCCGTTTTAAAACCTGTTTAAATGCATGAGTGCTGCATTTTGTGTCGGAGCTGAAACAGCCAAGAAAACACTGCAATCTAATTCATTCCACGTGTTCACATCCTGGGCCACGAAACACTGACTCCTGGTTAGTTTATATCAGCTAGTTACCTGGTTACTGAGGCTGACAGCCAGCTTGTTGAAGTTGAAAGGATGAGGACAGTCGGCTCGGAGAAAAACCTGCAGCTGGATGGGCTGGTCCACATGGAAACTGGGAGACTGGAACTTGGCCTTACACTGGACTGGAGTCAGAGAGGAGAGCCAATATTTAAAATACATAACCAGGTATAACACAGGACTTACTGATGTGGATGTTTGTCACACTGAACATCACAAAGACAGTCCCATGCTTTTATTTCAGTTGTCCAAACAGTAGTGAATGAATAAATAAGGGTTAGGGTCCGTTGTTCACAGTTTTTAGGACACTTTACTGATCTGAAGCCTCATATTCCTGTTGTGTTGCTTTTAGGTCCAACACAGGGTAAAAACTGACGTTAAGGTGTGAGCAGCTCCTCTGACTGTTTACTCACTAAATGGGATGTAGTCCTGCACTTCTATAGTCAGTTCATTGGATCCGGCCAGCGCCATGCGGTCGCTCCACAGGGACCGGGCTGCACTGACAGAAGATGGATCACACTCTGGCTCGGGGTCAGGAACCTCGTTCTGAAAATAAATGATGAATAACATGCATTACAATACATATTGTTGGTGTGTGACCTGCCTGACCTTTGGTTGGCTCATCATTCGCTAATCAAAGCGCGGGAGGCTAATGTGTGATCCGCTCCACAGAACTGCAAAACGAAACCATGTCGAAGGACCAACGCTGTTCTGTAGGTTCTTCTGTGAGACAATCCAGTGATTGACCAATGATTAGCTGAGCATGTGTTGAGCCAAAGAGCTGTACCATGAAGCCAGTTCAACATATCCAGACTTTCTCTGTGATAGCTGGCTTGACAAAACCTAAAACGTCATCAGAGATAATCAGTGGCTGCTAACCTTTACTTCCTACTTTAGTCAGGAGGTCGTTTTAATGGAGAACAAAGAGGAACACGTCAACATACGACAGTAAACAGTGCTGCTCCTGCAAATAATGCTGGTGATC